GGGGCCCGAAAATGGAGCACTCAGCCAGCCTGCATGTGGATCTCATCTTCCTGAAGATATTCGTCCTCTTTCCGACGCTGGACGAGATGGAAGTGGTGCTCAACACCACCACCATGTTGATCAAGCAAGCGCAGCAGCAGGGTTGGGCGAAGCTAGTGGATTCAGTGTGCAGCTGTCTACAGCTGCTGCACCACTGGCATGTATCGCTGTCCAAGGAAGTAGCCAAATGGCCACAGACTCTCGTGAAGTGGTGTCACCATATAAGTCAGTCTTCAGCAGGTTTTCCCGTGTTGGAGAAGACGCTGGTCTTGGTGCAGGATTTCTTGCTTCAAGCGACCCCCATGGATGCTGGCCCGTGGCTCCTCTTACTGCTGGATGTGTTTCGCAGCGTCTGCTCTGCTTGGACTCAGCCAGCCTACACCGCTCAGCTAGTGAGTCTCTCCGCCGTTACTTCCCGCCTCATTACCATCCTTCACAGCTTTCCCACCGAAATAAACTCAGAATTCCGCAAGTCATTTTTGGAGCAGCTGATGCCGCTGGTGGATGATGGTGACACATGCCTGCCTGGGAACACTCTGGTGAAGGTGACCCAGTGTGTCTGTTGGCTACTCTCGCAGGCAGATCCTCCACAGATGTTGTGGGTGATAAATACTTTCTCTACTCCCCATAAAATAATGCGAGAGATAGACCAAGCGCACGATGACTGCTTCCAGAGGTGCCCTGGGGTGGAGGTGAAGGCGACCATCGTAACTGAGCTCCTGCAGGTACTGAATCATTTCACTCTCGCTGTCTTCATGCAGACGGTGCGTATGTTGTCTTACAGGTCGGAGGTGCCTCATCTGGAAATCGTCTGCCGCTGGTTTTGCGAGGCCATCTCCAGTGGCCTCTCCTTCGACGCTTCAAATTACTTTGCGACGGGTGAGGACGGTAAAGTAACATCCTTCCTGGAGCACCTCGTACAGAAATTCCAGCGCCGAAGTGACATACTGTACCTTCAAGTGCTTACCTACACCTTAATGAACGATGAGAGCAGCAGGAACTACATGAGAGAGAGCAACACGTTCCTCGCTACTCTCAAGCTATCTAACATTACCTCGGCCATCACCAGAGGCGCAGCTGTTCTTCTGGCCTTCCTCCTCGCCTCCCGCGACGCCTTCTGCACGTTCATAGCGGACTGTGACAGAGATGAAGTTACGCATGACGTCTACCTGTGGGTGACAGAGGCCCCGGTGGGCATGGATCGTAAGTTCGTCGAGGTGTTGAGGTCGGCAGCAAAGGAGGTCTTGCTTCTCCTGGGCGACACCTGCGTCCTCACCCCCTTTGACGTCATTCCCCTTTGACATCCACAACACTAGCGGCACTTTTTTTCATAACTGCAATGGAGGGGAAGCCGAGGCGTTAGTGAAGGTCTCTTGATCCAAGGAATTGGAGATATCCCTCCCTTCCTCTGATCAAACCCCATTGCCTCCCGTTCCCCCTATGGGCTATAATGATCCCCTACGGGTTTAGAGCTTCACCCGAACGTAAAAAAATCCACCCCGCGATGCACTGCATTGCCCCAGCCTGGTGACCGCACTGCGCTGTGTCGCCCTGGCCTGGTGACCGCACTGCGCTGCGTCGCCTCACAATTCACCCACTAAACAGCAATTGCAAATCTAGCGATGTTTAGTTCAATCTTGAACAATTATCACTTCAGGATGGTTCCAAACATCGCTGCATTTTCAATACCAACTTGAGAGTTATATATATATATATATATATATATATATATATAATATATATATATATATATATATATATATATATATATATATAAAGAGGTTTGGTAATAAGTAATACATATTTTATGAAAAAGAGGATAAATAAATATACAAGGTATGATGTAGCACGTAAAGAAAGTAGTTTGTTAGATTATGTATAGGTGGATAAAAGGTTGATGGGTAGGCTCCAGGATGTACACGTTTATTGAGGGGCAACTGATATATCGGATCATTATTTAGTTGTAGATACAGTTACAGTAAGAGGTAGATGGGACAAGAGGAAAATGGCAACAACAAGTAAGAGAGAGGTGAAAGTGTATAAACTATGGGAAGAAGAAGTTCGGGTGAGATATAAGCAACTGTTGGCAGAAAGGTGGGCTAGTACAAGTATAAGTAGTGGGGGGTTGAAGAGGGTTGGAATAGTTTTAAAAATGCAGTATTAGAATGTGGGGCAAAAGTTTGTGGCTATAGGAGGGTGGGTGCAGGAGGAAAGAGGAGTGATTGGTGGAATGATGAAGTAAAGGGTGTGATAAAAGAGAAAAAGGTAGGTTATGAGAGGTTTCTACAAAGCAGAAGTGTTATAAGAAGAGCAGAGTATATGGAGAGTAAAAGAAAGGTGAAGAGAGCGGTGAGAGAGTGTAAAAGGAGAGCAGATGATAGAGTGGGAGAGGCACTGTCAAAAAAATTTAATGAAAATATGAAAAAAAATTGGAGTTGAACAAGTTAAGAAAGCCTAGGGAACGAATGGATTTGTCAGTTAAAAACAGAGTAGAGGAGTTAGTAGATGGGGAGAGGGAGGTATTGGGTAGATGGCGAGAATATTTTGAGGAACTTTTAAATGTCGACGAAGAAAGGGAGGGGGTAACTTCATGCACTGGTCAGGGAGGTATACCGTCTTTTAGGAGTGAAGAAGAGAAGGATGTGAGTGTGGGGGAGGTGCGTGAGGCATTACGTAGAAAGAAAGGGGGTAAAGCAGTTGGAACTGACGGGATCATGACAGAAATGTTAAAAGCGGGGGAAGGGGGATATAGTGCTAAAGTGGTTGGTACTTATGTTTAATAAATGTATGAAAGAGGGGAAGGTACCTAGGGATTGGCAGAGAGCATGTATAGTTTCTTTATATGAAGGGAAGGGGGACAAAAGAGATTGTAAAAATTACAGAGAAATTAGTTTACTGAGTATACCAGGAAAAGTGTACGGTAGGGTTATTATTGAATGAATTAGAGGTAAGACAGAATGTAGGATTGCGGATGAGCAAGGAGGTTTCAGAGTGGGTAGGGGATGTGTAGATCAAGTGTTTACATTGAAGCATATATGTGAACAGTATTTAGATAAAGGTAGGGAAGTTTTTATTGCATTTATGGATTTAGAAAAGGCATATGATAGAGTGGATAGGTGAGCAATGTGGCAGATGTTGCAAGTGTATTGAATAGGTAGTAAGTTACTAAATGCTGTAAAGAGTTATTATGAGGATAGTGAGGCTCAGCTAGGGTGTGTAGAAGAGAGGGAGACTATTTCCCGGTAAAGGTGGGTCTTAGACAGGGATGTGTAATGTCACCATGGTTGTGTAATATATTTATAGATGGGGTTGCAAAAGAAGTAAATGCTAGGGTGTTGGGGAGAGGGGTGGGATTAAATTATGGGGAATCAAATACAAAATGGGAATTGACACAGTTACTTTTTACTGATGATACTGTGCTTATGGAGATTTCTAAGAAAAATTGCAAAGTTAGTGGACGAGTTTGGGAGAGTGTGTAAAGGTTGAAAGTTGAAAGTGAACATAGAAAAGAGTAAGGTGATGAGGGTATCAAATGATTTATATAAGGAAAAATTGGATATCAAATTGGAGAGGAGTATGGAAGAAGTGAATGTTTTCAGATTTTTGGGAGTTGATGTGTCAGTGGATGGATTTATGAAGGATGAGGTTAATCATAGAATTGATGAAGGAAAAAAGGTGAGTGGTGCATTGAGGTATATGTGGAGACAAAAAACATTATCTTTGGAGGCAAAGAAGGGAATGTATGAAAGTACAGTAGTACCAACACTCTTATATGGGTGTGAAGCTTGGGTTGTAAATGCTGCAGCAAGGAGACGGCAGGAGGCAGTGGAGATGTCCTGTCTAAGGGCAATGTGTGGTGTAAATACTATGCAGAAAATTCGGAGTACAGAAATTAGGAGAAGGTGTGGAGTTAATAAAAGTATTAGTCAGAGGGCTGAAGAGGGGTTGTTGAGGTGGTTTGGTCATTTAGAGAGAATGGATCAAAGTAGAATGACATGGAGAACGTATAAATCTGTAGGGAAAGGAAGGCGGGGTAGGGGTCGTCCTCGAAAAGGTTTGAGAGAGGGGGTAAAGGAGGTTTTGTGGGCGAGGGGCTTGGACTTCCAGCAAACGTGCGTGGGTGTGTTAGATAGGAGTGAATGGAGACGAATGGTATTTGGACCTGACGATGTTTGGAGTGTGAGCAGGGTAATATTTAGTGAAGGATTCGGGGAAACCGTTATTTTTATATAGCCGGACCTGAGTCCTGGAAATGGGAAGTACAATGTCTGCACTTAAAGGAGGGGTTTGGGGTCTTTGCAGTTTGGAGGGATATGTTGTGTATCTTTATACGTATATACTTCTAAACTGTTGTATTCTGAGCACCTCTGCAAAAACAGTGATTATGTGTGAGTGTGGTGAAAGTGTTGAATGATGAAAGTATTTTTTTTTTGGGTGATATATATAATATATAAATATATATATATAATATATAATATATATATATATATAATATATATATATATATATATATAATATATATATTGTTGTTGTGTGTGTGTGTGTGGTTCAGAAAAGGCAGAACTTGCGATCTTGGCTTAAATAGCAACGTTCATCTTGCCGTATACGACAAGCGAAATTTTGTGTATGCAATAATTTCGCCAAAATCATTCTGAACCTAACGAAAAAAATATATTTCACTGTGTTTGTTTAGTATTAAATTATTGTAAACAAATCTAAAATATATTTAGTTGGGTTAGGCTAAAATAAATTGTTCTTGTTATAATAAGGTTAGTTAAGTTTTATAAGATTCTTCTGGAGCAAAATTAAAAATTTTTACATTAACATTAATGAAAAAAATAAATCTTTGAACGTATAAGAGAAAATTTTAGAAAGCACTTAATTTTAAATGAGTTTTTGCTAATTGACCAGTTTTACATATTCGGCACGACATATATATATATATATATATATATATAATATATATATAAATATATATATATATATATAATATATATATTATATATATATATATATACATATATATATAACATATATATATACATATATTATAATAATATATATATATACATATAAAATATATATACATATATATATACATATATATATACATATATATATATACATATAATAATATATATATATAAATATTATATATATAATATATATATATATATATATATAATTATATATATACAATATATATATATATATATATATATTTTATATATATATATGATATATATATATGTAAATATACTATATATATATATATATATATATATAATATATATATAAAAATATATATATATATATATATATTATGATCGTCGGATGTTTTGTTAGACTTAGAGTCTCTGTATTACATGTCGACAGTTCACATGCAGGTTTCCGGCTGCACGTCACTTGTATAACCAAAATGTGATTACATCCACGATACAGTGTGTCCATGTTGGTGTTACTTGTGAGTGTACTGACGGTGGTGTTACTTGTGAGTGTACTGACGGTGGTGTTACTTGTGAGTGTACTGACGGTGGTGTTACTTGTGAGTGTACTGACGGTGGTGTTACTTGTAAGTGTACTGACGGTGGTGTTACTTGTGAGTGTACTGACGGTGGTGTTACTTGTGAGTGTACTGACGGTGGTGTTACTTGTAAGTGTACTGACGGAGTTGTTACTTGTGAGTGTACCTGACGGTGTGTTACTTGTATGTACTGACGGTGGGTGATACATGTAAAGTGTACTGACGGTGGTGTTACTTGTGAGTGTACGACGGAGGTGTTTACTTGTAGAGTGTACTGACGGTGTGTTACTATTGTAAGTGTACTCTGACGGGGGTGTTACTTTTTTGTGAGTGTACTGACGTGGAGTTACTTGTAAGTGTAACTACGGTGGTGTTACAGTAAGTGTACTGACTGTGGTGTTACTTGTGAGTGTACTGACGTGGTGTACTTGTGAGTTGACTGACGTTGGTGTTTACTTGTAAGTGTATCTGATGGTGGTGTTTACTTGTAATGTACTGACGGTGGTGTTTACTTGTGAGTGTATGACGGTGGTGTTACGTTGTGAGTGTACTGACGTGGTGTTAATTGTAAAAGGTGTACTGACGGTGGTGTTACTTGTAGTGTACTGACGGTGTGTTACTTTGAGTGTACTGCGGTGGTGTTACTATGTGAAAGTACATGATGGGTGGTGTTACTTGTTATGACTGATGGTGGGTGATACTTGTAGTGTACTGACGGGGTGTTACTGTAGTGTACTGACCCGGTGATACTTGTACGGGAACGACGGTGGTGTTACTTGTGAGGTGAACAGATGTCGAGTTACTTGTAAGTGGTACTGACGGTGGTG